ATATGTATATGTATATGTATATATATATATATATGTATATGTATATATATATATATATATGTATATATATATATACTTGTGTGTGAGTGTTTGTGAGTGCGTGTACGTGACGTGTGTGTTTGTTTGTTCGTGTTTATATGTATATCTGTAGTAAAACAATGCTAAGCGCTTTCAGGAAGTGTTGTACCCCTCAGCGTTATTGCATTGTATGTTAGAGTAGATGAATTGTGTTTTTGTGTTCATCCAACAGATATTTGCAAAACTTGTTGTGCTGGGGCTTTTTTTAAATTATCACTATAACCTCCATGATATTCATAGTATGGGCGAGACGCATGTATCTGTTATTTTATTCGCTCAAGAAACAATACTCTATACCATCAATTTTGGTTTGTATTATTTTTATCCACTAATGCTCAGCAGCGGTAGTCCACAAGCGCCCCATTATATTCAACGGGCGCGAATAATAAGTGGTATACAAACTATCGCAAAAATATCTAAAATAGAAATGGGATAGTGAAGCCCCACCTTACCATCCCGAGGGACATCTGTGCCACCACTGTACGACTATGTCATCTCTATCCACTACGGCATAGCGCTGGTAGCAAGCGGCCGCAAGGCAAGCATGGTTGGGTACTATCTGAATGACTGAACCAACGCCAAGAGCAGACAGTGTAGATTGGCGGAGGGCAGCGTCCGTGATCGAGGGGTCGCACTCGACAATACTGCACTCCTGTATTCGTGGTGTGATGTGTGTGGAACCATTTGTGTTGCATGTATAGTATATATTTCCATGGGCGTGTATATGAATGTGTATGTGTAGCTCAGAAGCATGGGTACGGGCGGAGACACTGTAGCGCTTGGCATGGCATTGCAATTGGCGATTTCATATCGAGTCTTTTGCGAGTAAACCGGAGTTGATAAATGGGAACGGAGTTTCCAAAAAAAATCAAAAATCGCTCAATGGATCTATTTTATGTCAAGCGAACGCCCTTCGGAGCGCTGTCTTGATATTAGTACATCATTGTTTCGAGCCATAGACGAGCATACTCGATTCTAGCTATGCGTCAAGGTGCAGATACTGTATATACTACTGAACTTGGCAGTCGCTAAGAAATTCCGGCGACAAAAAAATCATATGCCTGATTTACACGCGCACCCCGAGATATATATATAAGTGCACTGGTATAAACGCACGTACCTGGCTGGCGCTGACTATCTTTAAATTAGGATGTCCGACGATCTCACCAAAGCCCCCCTGTGTTCAGGCAGCTTGTGTGTAAGTATACGCATGTACATACTTATACAATGCTGGTAATACGATGTGGTGAAATTTAGTGAAATTGGCAGGCGCTCGATGCAAATGGTGACATTTTTTGGTGGTGCTTGTCGTCGGTCTCGATAAAGGGTTCTATATATGGAGTAGGCTTGTGGTATGTCTCTGATCCAGACAGGTGTAGGGTCGTGGCCAACAGGCTCAAGAACAGACACGTACTGAGTATACTGAACCCCATACACGGGTATTTAAAAGGGGTAAACCATTTCGGGAGAGCCCAACAGGATACTGTGCATGCTCAACACCTTTTTAACGACATTAAATTAGAGATCAAAATTGCCGAGAGAGCCGAACACGTGGTGTGTTGTGTGATGTCCACCAATGCTTGTCCATGGTACCAGAGGAATGAGAATTCAAACACCACCTTTAACTCACCTTCGCCGTACGTGGAAGTGCAACACAGCATGAACATATGCACATACATGCTTCTTAATCTGACAAAGTATGGGCACATACACATGCCGGTGGAGGTAAAATCCAACCTTCAACGTATACATGCTTCTCAATCAGAATCGATTGGAATACTGATTGGATTGAATACGTTTGCATGGATAAGCCTGGATATCTCAATCCAGGCCCAGACTTCCGGGGAAGGCTATATAGAAAACACCATGGCGCCAGAATCAATCATAATCGCTTGCATGATATGCTGAGGTGGCGGTAGGTATTTCGCTTTCACGCACGTATTCGCACCACGCACATGTCCGTACACATCGACATGCTTCTGAAAGGATACATCAACAGACACATACTCCTATGTGGATAGTTTCACACACACACCTGTGCAGGTATCTTTGGACAAAGCCATATGGCACCGCATCGATCATCAGATGGTCACTGTTGTGATATGCTGAGACGATTGTGGACACTACGCTCACACGCACATAGCCACACCACGCATATATCCGCACCCGCAGACATGCTCCTATGCGGGTACGTTGACAGACACATACTCCTGTTTGTGTGAATGGGTTGACACACACACACACACACACACACCTCTGTGCAGGTATCTTTGGACAGAGCCATGGCACCCGCATCAATCACCAAGCGATCTCTGTCGGGATATGCTGAAACGACCGTAGACACCACTCTGCCGGCACAGTCTTGGACAACGTCACACGTACCCGTCAGCGACTGCTGCTTGTCTAGAAATAGATTGTTTCCCGGGTGGATGTCCGTGATGCCCGAGTTAGAAAGTATAGGCGCCAGGCACGTGGGTGTGGAGCCGATGCTGATGTATGTGCACGTGACACCCCTCGACTTGAGGCGATCGGCGAAGCTGTGTGGTTCAACCGAGAGATGAGAAAGCACGCGGGTGTACGGCTATAAAATAGCCGAATCTGGAGGCAAACGGGAGAAACATGAATACCAACCAGCAAGATTGGAAGTAACGAACGAGGCAATGTTGAACACATCAGGCCTTTAGTTAGCCACACTTGGGGATTCTATTCGGGCCGAAGAACAGTAGTTCAGCGAATGCGAGTGGTTAGGTACAACCAATGCCTGCAGATATACGTATTACGCATGCAGACCCTTACCGCGTATACAGAGTGCAACCAATCAACCATAGTATGTAATGGTTCTCTACGGACAACACATACAGCCCAGCAGACAAAGGCACAGACACTGAACTGTGTATAACTAGACACAACTGACTAGGACTAAACATCTGGGCTGCAACATATCTGGGCTGCCACTTGCCTGGTGATGAGTGCAGCCTCACTCGATGCGATGCTATCCAGCTTCGCACCTTCCCCTCGAGCCACGCCGTAGCTGTGTCCGGCGTGGGCGTACAAGCCCACGAATCGAATGGCTGCAATGATGGCGGGCATATGGCAATAGGCGGTGGAGTGTAAGGTTAGATATGGTTGGGTTCGATTGGGTTAGACTGAAATAGAATGAATACCACGGATAACAGGTAAGGCTGGAAATCACAAGAAATGCTCTGAACCAGTGTGATCTATGTTGACCCAGCTGGATCATCCACTTCGGAGGTTAGTTCAATTATTCCTCGCAAAGCCAAGGTACCAACAGCTCAATCTCTATCGTAATATGGGATAGTACCATGGTGATCTCATTGTACTATCCATAGGACAATAGTGATCTCTATCGTATTATGGGATAGTACCATGGTGATCTCATTGTACTATCGCATAGTACAATAGTGATCTCTATCGTAATACGGGATAGTACCTTAGCGATCTAGCTGTCGATTCCTTGGCATTTGCGTAAAGGAACACAAGACAAAGATCCCGTGACACTCTCTACGATCTCACATAGGGCCATGCGACGGACTTGTATATACAACGACCCGTAAAACAATAATAAGCACATACGTGTTGGGAACCATTGTTAAGCATACCCAGTACATGCCACCAACCATCTCTTCTGAAGATTTAACGAGAAACGAATTTAGCAATCGGGTGGGAGGGTTAAAGTATCCATCGAAGGATATA